CCCCAAAACCCCAAAACCCCAAAACCCCAAAACCCCAAAACCCCAAGGAGATAAAATAAAATTGAAATATATATGCCAGGAGTTGATAAGAAGAAACTTAAAGCTGCCTTCAGAGAGAGTTCCATTTTTAACAAGAAGTATGCAGGGGTCCTTGGAGTAGAGAAAAGGATCATGATGAAAGAGAGTATCCGGAGGAATAGACTTACTAGTGAGCAGAGGTACAAGATGATGACTCCCATGGCAAATCCTCAGAGTTCATTTTTTAAACTATTCGGGTATTCAAACAATGAGAATAAACTATCACCTGACCAGTTGAATAGGACTACTTATATCGAGATTTTTAGTTCTAATAAGAGTTCGATGAAGAAGAACCTGAATTACATTAATTATTCAAAAGGAGAGCATGACATAATAACGAACAAGAGGTTATCATCAGCGTATAGCTCATTTAGGAGTGATCTCCATAAATATGAAATTGATAAGCCTGAGTTTGGAAAGTCTTATAAAAAACTAAGAAACAGGTCACCTCCAGGGATGAACTTGCCAAAGAAGCATATAATGAAGAATATTAGACATATTAAGAATTTATCTAATTTAACTAAATTGAAGAAACTAAGTCATGATGAAGAGATTGCTCCTAACGGATTTAGAGTGCATTCAAAGGATAAATCCAACTTTGTTATCTTTAAGAGGAGAAGTAAAGTTGGAACAAGGAGATTTAATGAGTTTGACAGCCAACCAAGAGTAAATACTACTCCTCAGAACAAGGAAGCCTTTGCTTTTACAAGAATGGATCCAGTTTTTACCAAAGATGAGTCTATTATATTCAACTTCATCGAGGAGAAACTAGCTTCAGCATTATCTGAGGATCCTGAGGAGGAGAAATAAAGTGTTAATGAGACTAGATTGCTTGAAAAGATTTTATAACTCGAAAATTTCGAAAATTAGCCTACAAATAAGAATTAAAATGATCCAAGATTTAGTGCACACATTCACTTTACTTAAGTAAGAATAATGAGTAAGCTATAGATCAAAACACAAGCCAGGATCCCTTGAACGTACTCAAAAATTTGAGAAATGAGAGACAAAAGTAACTCAGTTGAGTAAATCATTTGTGAGAGAGCCTGAGAATAAGCTAACAGATCACCAAAAGCAGCTATTAAAGCTGTTTGAGAATGAAAACAAAGAAGAAATTGAAAAGGTTCTTACCTCAATTCTAGGTCGACAGTACAAGGTAGTCTCATCTTGATCTTTATAGCAAAAGATACAGAACACTCAAAAAGAAGATAAGAAATCACATAAAAGGAGGACTTCAGCAATGATCATTGCTAAACTTGAGAATCAGCTTTCTAAAGAAAAGAAATTGCAAAAAGATCATGAAGATGAAATCTCAACATTGAAACAGAGAATTGAGAGACAAAGTGAGAGGAAATAAGAAACTTCAATGTGACTTATTTCATATGGGGTTTTGGGGTTTTGGGGTTTTGGGGTTTTGGGGTTTTGGGGTTTT